CCTTGTCATCATCTTTGTTGCACAAAATGTTTATACTATCACTACACACTTGCTGTGTGATGACGGTATAAATATATTGTACGACAAAGATAATAACAAGGACAAGTTCCATTCATTAACGTGTTGTAGGACACTAGCAAAAAAAAAAACGACGGTATTACTCGAGGCTGTGTATTGCAGTAGGATTGTATTATGAGGCTGGTGAAACTCAACATACTGATAAACTAACTATGTTTGGACAAAAGCATCATCTTGTACCAAAGTTTAAAAGTAGTTTCAAATTACAAAGAATAACACGAATGCTTAATCAGTTACGCTCGAATAAATGAAAAACTGGACATGAACGATGAAGCCACTAAAACATTTTCGGTGCCGATGTCACTAGACGCTTTCAAAGAGGACGATAAGCTTATTTTGCAGGGCTTCAACCGCTGAAGCCCTGCAATATAAGCTTATCGTCCTCTTTGAAAACGTCTAGTGATATCGACACTGAAAAGTTTGAATGACTTCCTCATTCGTGTTCAAGTGTCCATTTATTCGCATGATAATCGATTTATCCATCATATTATTCTTTGTAATTTGATACTAATAAGCAAATCAGAAAACAATGTTCATTCCAATTTGTTCACAAATCACTGGAAGTTTGGAACTAATGAATAGGGGGGTGAAATTAATGTGAAGTGTTGACGACTCGAACGTGAGTTTAACATTACGTTATTTTGCAATCATTTTGTCGAACTTAAATAAAAATTAAGATGATAAGTACATATATATATATGAGTTATATTGTTTGTGCTATCGCAGATGTTTATATTCAAATCATAATACATAATGAAGAATATTGACAAGATATCATTGTCCGAATTGAAATTGATGTTGAAACATTAACGACATGTACGACTGTGATGTGATGTCAATAGTCTTTATTATGTATAAATGATTGCAAAATAACGTAATGTTAAACACACGTTCGAGTCGTCAACACTTCACATTAATTTCATCTCCCTATTCATTAGTTCCAAACTTCCACTGATTTGTGAACAAATTTATAACCACATGTCTAAAAAATAAATACAAGTAATACGAGACGTATTGTAAAAGAACTACGTTCACTTTCATTCGCAATAAAAAAATAAACATGTATTTAATATATATATATATATAAGTATATAAAAAATATATACTTGAAAAAAAAAAGCCCAGAACCGGCGAGTCTGACCTGGACCCGAGAGAAAACCGATGGTTTTTAAACTCACCGGTACAGGGCCGGTTCATCGAACCGGCCCTTACTTCTAACCGGGCCGGTCCCGGTTCGCCCAATCCAGGACCGGTGGCCCACCGGGCTAGGCCGAGACCCGACACCCGGCCATGTCTAGGCGCCATAATTGTGAAAAGGGATTTTTCCTCTTAATCAAAATGGGTTTTTATTTTTATTTTTATTTTTTGGTCAGAGTTAGTTACCTAGCTGTTGGATAGCTTTTAAACATAATTTAGTTAATCATGATATAGTTTTGTCAAACTAAAGTGAAAATAAGGGGGGAGTTTGAAATTTAACCAATCACTTTCATACACGTAATTGAGGTTAGCAACCTTCGACCACACCAGATCACAGCCTCTTATCCTTATCCCACCCTAAAGAAACCCTACTTCACCTATCATCACCTTGAGAAAAATCACTCAAAACTTGATGGGGGGGTAAAATAACGAGTGTGATAGAAAAAAAAAAAAAAAAGTAGAATCGGTGAAAGACTAAAAATAGCCGATAAATAAAAAACAGCCCCAAATCGAGAAAAGAAAATGATAAGATTTGTTTTTATTTTTACCTGAAATGTTAAAGACGCCGTCACCGAGGGTTGAAAGAATTCAGCTATTTTCTGATCGGTAAGAATTGTGAACTATTTTAATACTTAAGCAGGTTGAGCTCGAGTGATGCTGGAAAGTTCTTCTTTCTTCGAAATTAGCGGCGGTGGCTCGCCCTACGACGAAGGGGGGGCGCCGGAACTCGGAAATGAAGGTGGCAGCGGCGGCCTTGCTGAGGACGGCGACCGCAATTCAGCCGGCAATCGATGGCCGCGAGACGAGACCTTGGCTCTGCTCAAGATAAGGTCCGATATGGACTTCGCTTTTCGCGACTCCACTCTTAAAGCTCCTCTTTGGGACGAAGTTTCAAGGTATTACGTAGCTTCGCTGCTCTGTCCATATCTTTATTTATCAGATTCGGTTCAGTTTATTGATAGAGAAAAAACGATACAGGGGAAAATAGGCCTGTTCGATTCTCTGTTCAATTAATTCTGAATGATTTTATCGGTGTTTGTGTCTTCTTGAGTTAACTGGCCTTTTCAAATTTGAGGTTTAACCACATTTTCTCGTTGTGATTTTGGAATTTTCATACTGTCCATTGTAGCTCATTTAGGAAAAAGCTGTGAAACCTTGAAAACGAAGAAACTCATTGGTGGTTTACAATTCTGCTGTTGTGTTGTCAGAAAACTAGGCGAGCTCGGGTACCAGCGGGGAGGGAAGAAATGCAAAGAGAAATTTGAAAACATCTACAAGTACCACAAGCGAACCAAACACGGCAGATCCAGCACGCCCAATGGCAGAAACTATAGATTCTTCGAGCAGCTGGAGCCTTTCGAGTCCCAGATTCCGACATTCGCCATTGAGACTCATAAAGCAACACCAACCACAAACAGTCAAGATTTCACCCTACCTTGTTCCTCCACGTCCACTGCTTCCTCTTCCGAGGAAACTGAAGGTAACATCAAGAAAAAGCAGAAATTGGTTGACTACTTCGAGCGGCTGATGAGGGACGTCCTTGAGAAGCAGGAGGAACTGCAGAGGAAGCTTCTGGAAGCCATTGAGAGGTGCGAGAAGGAACGCGTGGCCCGGGAGGAGGCCTGGAAGGCCCAGGAGACAGCCCGCATCAAGGAGCAGCAGGAGCTCCTGGCCCGAGAACGGGCACTTTCCGCGGCCAAGGATGCAGCCGTGCTCGCCTTCCTGAAAAAGATTGCGCAAGAGACCAACACGGAAATTCTCGACCTGTCTTTATTGGAAAATACTTCAAAGAAGCAGGAACATGATATCCTGGAGAAGTTGGGTTACTTGCAACCGCGTGGTGAAACTTCTACTACTAAGGTGAATTTCGCTCAGACAAATTTTACTCAGACGGGGTCCGCTCGGTGGCCCAAGGCAGAGGTCGAGGCTTTGATTATGCTGAAAATGGATCTTGATATGAAGTACCAGGACAGCGGGCCAAAGGGTCCGCTCTGGCAGGAGATCTCATCCTGCATGAAGAAGCTCGGCTACGAGAGGAATGCCAAGAGGTGCAAGGAGAAATGGGAGAATATAAATAAGTACTACAAGAGAGTGAAGGATGGGAACAGGAAGAGGCCCGAGGATTCCAAGACGTGCCCCTATTTCAACATGCTCGACTCCATCTACTCGGGAAGGTTCGAGAAGCCGTCTGGACTTGATGGGTTGAAGCCCGAGCAAATCTTGATGCAGATGATGGCCCATAACCAACAGGTGGTGCAAGAACAACCGTCGATTGGGGAATATGACAGTCGTGATACTGAAGAGCAGCAAGGGGAGGACATGAAAGATTGTGAAGGTGGGGATGGTTATGAAGTTGTTGCAAAAAACCTGACCTCGGTTACTAGTTTGGGGTGATGTTCGCTAATCCGGGAGTTTCGTGATCGAGTTCTGAAAGTTGGTGCATCAGATACGCGGTCATGAGTGGTTTTGGTGATGGATGAGAGATTTCTGTGCATTCGAAGTGTCACCTCGCCAGGCTTTACCCAAGATTTGACGCTGTTGGGGAAATAGTTATGGGTGAGAAAATGGTGATCCTGTTAGCTTTTCTGTCACAGTTCAAATTTGCACTTTGTTTTTGTAGCCAGTGGTTTGTTTGATTGAGTTTACTTGTACTGTTGAGTATAAACCATAATCGTTGGAGCGACTTGGGAAAGTTCATCCTTTATTTGTTTATTGTTGTTACTGCTACTTTTTCTGTTCTTCTTTTGAGACCAGGTTGAAGTTGAATTGTTTCTCGTGTGCCATGCTCGATTCTTTAGGTGATATTGTATGGCATGAAAAGTTCAAGGAGCTACCTTTATTAGTTTCGAGGCAATGTATGGCATGAAAAGTTCCCACATCAGTTACTGTTCTTGCGGTTGCTGGTTTGCTGGTTGCGTGTGTATTTAACATTTTCCACCTAAGTTTATTTACGTAGTGAAGTTGATGCTAGTGAAAGTGTGTGATTGTTGGCCTTGGTGAAAGTGTGTCGATATATCATATATGATGCTAGTGTTGGCAGTAGCAAAAATAGATGTGGTGTACATAAATAATATGCATTAATATAATTAATATTATTGTAAAGTAGTTACTAATGTATACTGTACTATATTTGTTCTTTGACTTATATCTAAATTTTATTTTCTTAAAATTTATTTCCCACCATATCACCCAATAAAATATCATGGAAAATGATGGTTTCAATCATTTTAATATTCTGTTTTACTAAAAGTTTCACTTGATTATTTGAATAAGGGTGTTACTAATTACCGATCTACTATTAGTACTTACTGCCTCCAAAAGACAGTTTTACCCTTCTCTTTTAAAAATAATTTTTTTTTAGGTCGGCCGAACTCGCTCTGCCGGCAGACGGTCGCGGTCGGCTACTGCACAGCCGGCCTATGGCTTGCGGCCGCTCCCACTAGGCGGCCGCCATAGCCGTCCGTCCACTCCGAAGGCCGCCTTCTTCTACAGCCGGCCGCTCCCTCTCCGGCCGGCGCCGGTGGCCGAATTTGTTTTTTTTTTTTGTATATAAATGATATAATTTATATATGTTTAAATATTAAAAAAATATATAATTTATTATTATTGTTAAATGTGTTATTAATAAATATGTTATTTGTAATTAATATATTATTTATATTAGTGAAATTATAATAAGTATTGTCAAATAAGTTGAAAAAATTGTATAATTTTTTAATTAATTAGTTTGTATAATTATATAATTAAAAAATATAATTTTATCAATTAATATATTAATTACATTTTTATAACTGCACCAATTGTGCAAAAAAAGAGTTAGGTTGATATAAGGGGCGATACGAGTAGGACAAAAGAAAAGATATTCATAACTACACACATACAGATAGTGGATGAAAGTAGTACACAACAGAACAACCAAGACAGAAGGCCAAAAAAATAAGCATTGAGAATCACCCATGCGAAGCTGCAAAAGTTGATAGCAGACGCTATAGCCGCACAGGTCGAACAATCTCAGATTTTGAGATCCACAGACATACTGTATGCCACCAATAGAAGCAGAGAGGTGTTGATATGTATACTAATAGCTCAACTTTATTTACAAACTTATTTACAATTTCTAATTTTAATGAGAATCATGTTTAGTAAAAAATGTGCATTTGCGTACAAACTTATTATGTTATTTTACATTGTGGATAACATGGTACATGGTGTTGGACATGAGATCATATTATTAGTTATGGTTCACAACCTAGATAAAAGTTAACAAACTATCGTTAAAGGTTGTAGCATAATTTTAAATTAGTTTGTCTTGCCCAATGAATTGCCATATTATATTTTGAAATGTATTGAACCTCGGAGGATAAAATTATTTTTTACTGACCAATTAAATAACATAGACCTCATTTATTACTCGTACCCGTAAGTAGTATGATAATGAATGGTTATGTGCATTTGATATCTATTACATTGATTTACCAAAAAGTGGGATTCAATCATTGAATCAATATACTGGGTGGTTAGGTAATTATATTAAATGCACTAAGTTTTGTTGAGGGTATTTATAGTCAGTGTGTTCGGTGTGTCAAGTTGATGATGTCTGCCAAATGAGCCCAAGACGTTCGTTATGCTAAACCTTATAGGTGGAAAAGTGTCGGCATAATGAAAACAGTTGCGTGGTAATAATTCTGAAAACAAGAAGTTAATTAATTATATTGTCAGTAGTTAAAATTATTAACGACTGTTAGATCTTAAGCATGAGGAGATAAATCAACTGAATAAATCTCGAGCCAAACTATAATTTGGAGTTCAATGCAAAGTTCAATAATATCCGTTTGGTGGAATGAAATATTATTCAGATGGATTGGGTGTAGGTGGATCAGAATCTAAGTTACTTAATCTTATAGAAAGATCTTATTTAACACCTTCTTAGGGTCTTTGCTTTAGCCTATAAATACACCAAGCAGTCTCGTGAATTAAACAAAATTTTTAGTCTTCTCAATCAGAAATCACGTTCCACATGTGAGGAAGAGAGAGGAGAGAGAGTTGAGAAGTTTTAGAAAAGAAAGAGAAAGAAGTGTTTTTTAAACACAAGGTCTTCTTCTTTCTTTCCCAAAAACTGATCAAGTGAGATTTATGAGAGCAAGTTCCATAGTCGTGGCCCACAAAGATGTTTGGAACTGGTGTCGGGAATACAACTGAAGGCTTTAAGATCACGTGTCTACTAGTTCGTCTGGTCTCGTAGACCGTGTAAGTTGTCTCAGAGTCCATAAATTTTTAACAGTACAATTTAATCTTATCTTTAGATCAGCTGAGCTTAAGATTTATTTCGTGGATTTCGAACATGCATAATCATCGATATGCGTCATCGAACCCAACAAGAGCATGAAGTCTTCTACATGTGAACAAAAACCAGCTCTCGGGCCCCAAGAGATGATCTTATCGACAGATTATCAACAGAAGTAAGGGATTTGTTGGCAAAGGTCGAGCGAAAAAAAGAAACCAGTGCTAGGGGCTACCTTTTCTCCCATGATATCTTGGACGCAGATCTTCCCACTAGAGTTTTTGAGTTGGACCACACTTACGATTGATCCACTGACCTAGCTCGCTACCTAAGAAACTTTGAGAATATGAAAGTATTTCACAAGTACAATGATCTAGTGTGGTGCCAAGTTTTCCTGGCTATGTTGAGAGGGTCACCTCATGATTGGTTTCATCAGCTCCCCGTGAGCTCTATCTACAACTTTGATGCCTTTAGTACTACCTTTATCAACCAGTTCGCAAGTGCGGAAGCGTATAAAATATATTCGACCTTGTTACGATAAAAATGTACTCGCTCGAAGATTTAAAGTAGGTTACTCGTGCTTAAGTGTGTTGATGCCTTAAAACACGTCTTGAAGTTGGAACTGAATTGGAAGGTCCTTACACTGTACAACATGTCTTGAAAGGAGGGGTATACGAGCTGAAGGATTGCGAGTGGAAATAGTTGTCATAGTCATGGAACATCATTCACCTCAAGTGATTCTATGCTTTGGAGATATATTACTATTTATTATGTAATTTTTGTTTTAGAATTTTATTGACATTTTGTGAAAAATGTATAGGTCGAGGAGTCGATGTATTGTTAACTTTGAATAGGCTAAAGCCTACGTTAGCTCTTATTGATAACTAAGTCAGTACAACATGATCTAGGTTCGACAAGTGGAGTGAATGTTTAATTAGTTTGAACATTTAATTCTCATTGATATATAATTGACTTAGTACAACGCTAGATGGGTCAAACAAGTGAAGTGGAATGTTTAATTAGTTTGAACAGTTAATTTGGGACTCATTCTCATTGTTAATTTACTTGGTATAGCACGAGTTGAGTAGACGAGTGAAATAAAATGTTTAATTAGTTTGAATAGTTAATTCTAAGCTAACCCTTGACCTTATGCAACATGGGGAGAAGTAGAATGATTAGTACATTTTAAAGGAATCTTGTTTACGAGCTTTCCATAACACGCATTGGGTTAGCACAAGCTCAGTATGTTCTATTAAAGTTATTGAATTTTAATATAGAGCAACACGAATGGAGATAAAAACGCAATTATAACAACTGAAACATAAGCAAATGATGGTATTTGGAATGGAACAATCGAATTCATTGCAACAAAAGACCCTAAGGGCCTTGTACAAAAACATTGGAGAAAATCAACATGGGGGAGGGGGAAGGATTCTCCTCAGTTTGTATTTGTATCACATCCTTTGAAGCTGCAGGTGGCTCGCCTAGGTTGGTGGCAGTATCAGAGGCTTCGGAAGGCAAGTCAATTTGATATGACAAAGCGACCCTTTCAATTACCTCCTGAACAACTAATATGCACCATGGATGCTCCGCCAGATGGGGGGTTCCCCATTCCAACCATTGGGAAATGGTGGCTCGACCGAAGTACCTTGTTTGTTGAATGTCCCCAGAAATCTAGGGGTGTTGACTACTCTTCGACACAACAAAGGCAAGGGAGAAGTACTGATAAGTGGTTGAAGTGAACTTTTAGAGGTACACATTCGAGTTAAAAAAGTGATCGAGGAGCTTCTCCCGATAAGCCTCCAAAATTCATGGACCCACTAGATAAATGAGGAAAGATTTACAACTCGACTCACGAGTTGCTTTATGTTTCTCTTTTAGCTACATCTTGTGTGACTCCACTTTGTCGATTAGTTATGTATCGAGAACTACTTTTTCCTTAGTGCCCTTATCAAACTTCGCTTTTAAAGCGGAGTGACCATCATGAAGCTTTACAACTTGTGCCTTCAACTGCTCTAATTCTTCCTCTTGCGTCTTCAGTTGTTTATGTTAGTGCATATACTATAAACTTTGCTTTGTGCTACGAACTTAATTCCATTTTGAAAAAGCATGT